CTTCCACTTTGATTCCAAGATGGCTGGGCGCGGCACGGCCTGGCTCTGCTCCGGGTGCTGGTGTCGGTTGTCGTTGCCCGGCTGCAGCTGGACCATGTTATGTGTGAGTCGCTTGAAATCCGTGGCCACGCGCTCCACAAACGCGTGGTGCGTTGATGGCACGGCGATGGGGCCGCCGCTGCGGGACAGGACGCGGGACAGGTGGTCCATGTCCTTGGTGATGGCGTCCTGTTCGCGCTCCTCCGGTTTCGGGTGGAAGAGCAGCTGCAGGCACGCGCCAATGGCGGGAGCGGCACTCTCATCCACAATGACGCACGCGTGTGGCGCCTGCGCACCGCCCGCGCGCTGGCGAAGGATGCTGAAGGCGAGGCTGCATGCCATGACGACGGAGGACAGGTGTGGCGGGTGCTTCTCGCTGCGAAACGACGACTCCACGCCTACGTTCTCCACGGGCGAGGACGCCTGCACTTCCCGTGTTGTTGTGTTGATGAAATGCACCCTGGGCCCGAGAACACGTTGTGCCCTCGCAATGGAGCGTTGCAACTGCACGTGATGTCATGTGATGTGCATGTATTTGTATTTGTGAGTGTGAGTGTGAGTGTGTGTGTATGTGTGTGTGAGTGAGTGAGTGAGTGAGTGTGAGTGTGTGTGTGTATGTGTGTATGTGTGTGAGTGAGTGAGTGAGTGAGTGAGTGTGTGTGTGTGTGTGTGGTTGTTGCTGGGCCATGCTGTCATACACGTGCAAGCATGCACTCGTACCGATTCTTGTTGCTGGGCTTCCTCAGCATCGGACTGAACGACGATGAGGTGGACGGCCTGTGCGCCAGGCAGGGCAACGAGGTCATCGTCTGAACCGAACAACCGCTTGAACTTGCGCGAGAGTAGCCTGCGAAACGACATGACGCTGCTGCCCTGTCCAAGCAAGGTACAGCCAAACGCAAGGAAGGGGAGGAAGGGAAGGAAGGGAGCGGAGGAATGGAGGGGAGCGGAGGAAACAGAGGGAAGCAGTCCTCAAGGTACGAGAAGTCGGGATCAAAGCACACGAAATAATGTGTGACAACAAAGTTGTGTACAACGTCAACACGCTACTCGACGATGTCAGATGATGTGACACACGAAAGATGATGTGTGGAGGGGATGAGATGGGGGCTGACAACCCGCCAGCGTCCACACCGCTGAGCAAGGCGCAGAAGGATCACGAGAGTATTGAAGAAGGAGGATAAGGAGAGGAAGCGAAGAGGGGAGAGGAGGGAGGCAGGGATCAAGCAAGCCGAGCCTTTGACAGTCAACCAACAACAAAGCCAGGACACACAGCCAAGGTGAAAGAGGCAAGCAAGCAAGGCACGAAGCAAAGAAGAAGGCAGTCGTTGTTTGGTTGTTTGCACGAACGCCAACCAACGAATTGCGCCCTGAAATGAGAACGAAGAGAACACAAACAAAAAGTGCTGACTCATCGCAAGGCAGGCAGATGGTGGTGGTGTGTGTGTGTGGTGTGTGGTGTGTAGATGTGTGTGTGCTGACGTCGCAGCTCACGCGCGCTCTCTCTCTCACCTCACCCACTCACTCACACTCACTCACACACACACTCTCACTCACTCACTCTCACTCACTCTCTCTCTCACACACACACACACACTCTCTCTCTCTCTCACTCTCTCACTCTCTCTCTCACACACTCACTCACTCACTCACACACACACACACACACACACACACACTCTCTCTCTCTCTCTCTCTCTCTCTCTCTCTCTCTCTCTCTCTCTCTCTCTCTGCT